TTTTAATTCTACCATTAACTTGAAGTCCGAGCAGTTCTCCTTAATTCATACCAACGGTAAAATTTGCCCCAGATTTTGAAGTATTCGTGTTCTGTCTTGTCTTTCATAATCATTGTAAGCCTATCCATCTCAGCACATGATAAAATTTTATGCAGGATCTCTTCTTCCGTTGGAGTTCCCTTATTCCTCCAATTTTGAGCAAAAACCAGTCTGGAAGCCGTTAAAATGTATAGCATTAAATAAAGTACGCCTTTGTCATGCTTTTGCGTAGTTAAATCTAATAAAAAGAGTTCTGGTTTTGGTTCTACCACTTGCTCTAATATTTCTTCCAACCATACTTTAATCCTGTTCCAAAAATCACAAGCTCGCGTTCATTCCCACCATATATGATAGTAAGTTCCACTTGTCAAATTACATTTCCAACAATTAGGGGAGACATTGGTACACATTTTAGCCAATCTTGTGGGTGGGAGATGCCGCAGGCCGGCAGTTTGACACTCCTGCTCTAAGTTGTGGGGATGGAGAAGGGGAACTGGAAGTGGCTAACAAAGAAAGAATTAATCTTCCAGTCTACACAAGAGCAATTGTGTGAGGCTTAATACCTAATATGCTTATGAGTCATGCTTACACAAGCAAGCATCAAGGATAATCCAGAGGGGAATGTGTGTGTGTGTGTGTGTTAAGAACTTGAATATGGTGACTTTCAGTCCAAGATTGCCAATAAGTAATAAACAAAACACAAAGTAAAACAGTTTGAATCTAAATGTTCCACCAGCAGTTTAATCTATTTGGTTTATAGATTATAGATAATATATTATATATATTTAATAGACTGGGGTTAAAACATATGAAGAAGAGTTGCAGGAATTGGATATGTCTAATTTAAGAAAAAGAAGGATTAGGGGTGACATGATAGCAGTCTACCAATATCTCAGATATTGAGAGGGAGGTCAACCTCTTCTCCAAAGCACCTGAAGGCAGGACAAGAAATGGATAGACACTAATCAAGCAGAGAAGAAACCTAGAAATAAGGAAAAAAATTCCTGATAGTGAGAACAATTAATTAGTGAATAGCTTGCCTTCAGAAGTTGTGGGTGCTTCATCGCTGGAGATTTTTCAAAAGAGATTGGACAGCCATTTCTCTGAAATAGTGTAGGGCTTCCTGCTTGAGCAGGGGGTTGGACTAGATGACCTCCAAGGTCCCTTCCAACTATGTTATTCTCTTATTTTCTTCTGTTATTCTGTTTCTCAATTTTTGTAAGCTGAATCTGAAGGTTTCCCAATTTTTCAGATTTCTTAGTGGAGAATGTTGTTGGGAACACTGGAGAACAAAGAAATAAAAGGTCTGCTATTTTACTCTCGTCTCTCATCTCCAAAGGGAAAAGTAGTGCAGAAAATTTTGAATTTGAAACGTTTGATCTCATCTCCCAGAAATGTTATGAGCTTCATCTGGGTTTAAGTAACTCAGCTACTGGTGTTGAAGTGGGTGTTTGGGGCTAGAAAGAGGATGTTGGAGAATTTCCAGAATAGTTGGAACTGCCCATTTCAAGCTAAAACAATTGCTTCCAGCTCAAAAACGGAGCATTTTAAGCATCACATGTTGGAAATTTGAAATGTTTTGCCCATCCTTAATAGCCAGTTTTCATCTTGAAGTATCTTAGCAAGAAAAAAACCTAAATCGCCTGAATGAAGCTTTCTTAATTTGGGCGGGTGCTATTAACAAAGTCTGCTTTTGCAATGCTTTTCAACACATCCAGCTTGATAATAGATTTTATTTCTATAGTTTCTACATTCTTTTTTTTTTTGTAAAAAAAAATCATTTTCAATTTTGCATTTCATTACATTCATAAAAATACTTCAGATAAAGAGTAAAATAAATTTATACACACAACTTTCGGTATTGCTCACCCATTTCCCCCCAAACCGCATCCACCCTCTAACCTACTTCCCTCTTCTTCCTCTTCCTCACTCCCCCCCTCTCCTCCTTCTCCTCACTCTCCCCCTCTCCTCCTTCTCCTCCTACTTGCTTCTCCCCTTCCTCCTCTCTTCTCACTCCGGATGCAGTCCAGGGGAAATGCCCGAGCAATTCCTCTCTCTAAATTAAAACATCAATATTATATACAATAAAACTATTTCTACTTATCTGAGCTACTTAAGCTTCAACCCATCCTATCCCCACCGCCCTCCCCCCCACCATTCTTAATGGTGTATAGGTTGTCTGAAATGGTATATTGTTTTCTGCCTGAGCAGGGGGTTGGACTAGAAGACCTCCAAGAACCCTTCCAGCTCTATTCAGAATGATTGATATTAATCACAAAGCAAGTATTGTTGGGAGGTTTAAAAGCTTGAGAGTTCACAAGATTAATGCTGTATGGAATGAAACTATGGCTGAATCTGGATGTTCTGCTACAGATACCACGAATCGCCCTCCTCCCAGAAGGGAACAAGGAAAACAGGTTGTGAAGAGGTTGTGTAGTGTCCCAGGCAATCTTGTGGACCCTGCTCAAGCAACAGTTCTGTGTCGTGTCCTGGATGGAAGGGAGGGAATGGACAATAATCTTTTCTGCTGTCCTCACCACTCTCTGCACCACCTTCCTGTCTGAAGCAGGGATGCTTCCAAACCAGACAGTGATGTATATGATAGGATGCTCTCAATCGTCCCCCTGTAGAAAGTGGTCAGGACAGGGGAAGGAAGATGTACTTTTCTCTTTTAGTGACCATTTTAAGTTATGGCCCTGAAAAAAGTGACTTATGACCATTTTCACACTTATGACCATTGTAGCATCCCTAGGGTCACATGATTTACTTTCGGATGCTTGACAACTGACTCACATTTATGTCATGTGATCCCCTTTTGCAACCTTCTGACAAGCAAAGTCAATGGGCAAACCAGATTCACTTAAAACAACAATGCTACTAATTTAAGAACGGCAGTGATCCACTCAACAAATGTGGTAGGAGAAGTCATTACATGGAATCAAACTCACTTGACCAATTTAACAACCTAAATGTTGGGCTTAATTGTGTTGGTAAGTTGAGGAGTACCTGTATTTTTCTTCCTGTGTTATTTGCTGTCCCAAGATGTTCTGAATTTTTTTTTCAGAACATCTTGTTATTCTATCTTGCAGAAAACCAAACTGAGACACCAAATATACCCAAAAAAATAATAATAATTTCAAAATTGAGGACATCACCTCGACATTTAAAATGATGGTTCATAGATCTGGCAACCTCACATTCTGAGTGAAGGCCAAAAGGCCATTCAAAAATGATGTCATGGTTCTGACAGATGAAAGTCTTTAAAGATCTTTGAGGCATTGTTTACCTTAAAGAATCTTTATTCGAGTAGCATAACATCGGCACTAACATAGGCAAAACCAAAATCTGAATTCCCCTCCCCTGAGCACATCGTATCAAAGCACAATTTCCTCCTCTAATTAACAGTCATAAATCACATTCCCCAATTATCTTGAAATGCAGGCTTTCCCTCCAGTTCTTCAACCCACCATTTCTTATCATTTCTTATATCAAAAATCTTGGTTCTCACTCTAGTTACAGTATTGTTATGTCTAACTAAACTCCCATGCACATTCTTACTCCTCCCCCCAGTATCCTCTAATTCTAACTCTAATTCTAAGAATAAAACATAAGAAGGAAAATGGCTGCATCTCCATCTGTTGACAAAGCAAGAACATCCGAGGTTAGCAGCGTTGACAGATGCCATAGCTGTAGAAGAATGCAAGCTGCTGGCACCAGTATTGAAAAAGCTCTGCTCAAGTTACCATAATAAACTTGTTTTTCTAAAGCTGTGGAGCTCTCTGAGCTTGGTGGTTTTCTTGCAGATGTTTCATTACCAAACTAGACATCATTGTCAGTGCACTGAGGCAGTTACCTAGTTTGGTAATGCACCCACAGTTCAACTCTGAGCTACATATTTTCTCTTCTGTCAGTTTTCCAAAGCTCTTAGCATCCCTGCAAGACGATATTCAACATTTTTAGACTAACTTCAATCCCTGGAAAAAAACAATCAAAAAACAGATCTGTGAACATCTAGAAACAAATAAAGTTACAACTAGCAGCCAGTACGGGTTTGTTAAAAACAGATCATGCCAAACCAATCTTATTTCATTCTTTGACAAAGTGACTAAATTAGTAGACCAGTGAAATGCTGTGGACATAGTATATTTGGACTTCAGCAAGGCTTTTGACAAAGTAGACCACAACCTACTGTTTGGTAAACTAGAAAAATGTGGGATAGACAGCATCACCACCAGACGGATCTGTAGCTGGCTGGCAAACTGTACTCAATGAGTAGTCTTTAATGGTACTACATCTACATGGAGGGATTTAAGCAGTGGGGTACTACAAGATTCTGTCTTAGGCCCAGTACTCTTTAATATCTTCATAAATGACTTAAAGTAGATGAGGGAATAGAAAGGAACTTATCAAATTGCAAATGACACTAAGCTGGCAGGAATAGCCAACACCCCAGAAGACAAGTTCAGGATCCAAAAAGATCTTGACAGACTTGAGCAATAGGCCCTATCCAACAAAATGAAAATTAATGTGGAGAAAAGCATTTACACCTGGGCAAGAATCACTAAAGGTACAAGTACAGATTAGGTGAAACCTGGATCAAAAACAATAACTGTGAGAGGGACCTTGGAGTCCTAGTGGACGATTACTTAAATATGAGTCAGCAGTGTGCAGCAGTATCCAAAAAAGCTAATTCAACCCTTGATTGTATAAACAGAGATAGAATCAAAATCACATGAAGTGTTAGTACCGCTTTATAAAGCCTCAGTAAGGCCACATCTGTATTCCAGAATTTGAGAGATGGCCACAAAGAAGAGGGAGTCAATTTATTTTCCAAAGCATCATAGAGCAGGACAAGAAATAATGGATGGAAAGTCATCAAGGAGAGAAGCAAACTGGAATTAAGGAGAAACTTTCTAACAGTGAGGACAATTAAGTGGAACAACTTGCCTTCAGACGTTGTGCTCCATCACTGGAGGTTTTTAAGAAGAGACTGGACAGCCACTTGTCTGATAGGGTCTCCTGCTTGAGCAGGGGGCTCGACTAGAAGACCTCCAAGGTCCCTTTTCAGCTCTATTCTGATTCTTAGACATACAGTGTATTGCTTCTTTTGAAATGAATCAGTCAACATGGTTTTGGGAAAAGACTCTAAAAAACAAGGCAGAAGACTGTGTAAGTTCAACATTTAGTTCTTAATTCTATTGCCCGTCCTCTGATATACACCCCATTTGTCATTCTTCATCCTATCATAGCCATAAAATCTCCTTAGTTTCACAACCAGATCAAGGAAGGCAGAACACTTGCCCTGTGAAACAACGTCCCTGTGGTTTTGCTCATGTGGAGTTATTATAGCTCCTTTATCTATTAGCTCCTTAAGTTTCACCCTGGCGCCTTTAAACTTCTTCAATTTGCCAAAACAAAGATTTGTAAATTATAATATCACCCCAAAAAGATCATTGTCAATTAGAGTTACAAGACATGATAAGGACAAAGAATCCTTTCTGGGCTGAAGTTATTTATTTATTTTATTTCTTTGATAAACTCATTTCCTGGATTATGATAAGATTGCCAAGGTTTAACACCTCTGATTTAACTACTTTGAGGCTACTTTGGAGACACTACTTGAATTTAAAAAAACTAGCATTACCTATACAAGCCAATATATTTGGTCCGGAAGGTTAAAAAAAATCAAGTTCCAGTTTTGCAAGAAATGGGCATGCTCCTAGTTAATTGACAGTCTAACTTGCCATGAAATCCTTCATTTCCCCAACTGGACCCTGTATCTATCAGAAAACCAGACTTTTGTTGAAATTGCAGATAACTAAAAAGTTGATGTTGAGAGTTAGAGCTGTACATTGTGAAATAACATCTTCCAATTTCAGCAATACAATCTGTACTGCTTCTCCATTTGCTTGGAGGTTGGTAAACCATCAGATATTTAGAAAGCAGTGTTTCAATATTTGGGAATTCCTTGGGTCTGAATCCTGAATAGAGCCATAACTGACATGTTTTGTCAATTCAAAAAAAAAAATACAGAATCCAGTGGTGAGAGTCTGAGAATTCTTCATCCCACCCAACACATATGGAAGGGACAAAAGTGATCCAGAACAACATATATCAAAAGGGAAAAAAAAAACAAAGAGAGAGAAAGCAATTAGAGTCCAGCAAGAGGTTGAAATAAATCAGCGCTCAACCGTTAGTCAACTTTTAAAACAATAAGCAAAATGAAAAAAAATGAAGTCAAAAAGTGAGAATTAAAATTCACAAGATGAAAACAATAAGGCACATAGCTGCCACGTATTCGCTCTTGATGCTGCATGCTTAGAAAACGAAACTGCTTGACAGAAAGATGGATATGCCCCAATAACTTTTTGATCACTTCCAGTGATCAAAATTGGAATCTTCAAGACCGCAGCAGCCATCTTGAAAGGGGCAAGATACTTAATTCTTATTTTTATTGCTTGACTTCTGGTCTCTTATTAATCCTGGTATTAATCTCTGCTTATCTGGATTTTGATTGCTGGTGAGGAAGTGTTTTGGGATTATTATTTTTTTTTGTTTGTTTCTTTCTGAGCTTTTTATTCTCTCTTTTGAATGGTATGTAAATGTGGTTTATTTCTATGTGCCCACTGATGGCTGATTTGTTTGAGTGACAGGCCTCCAGGAATTCTCTAGCATCTTTGAACTTGGCTTGGTTTAGGATACTCACACTTTCCCAGTTGAAACTATGGTAAGTTTGTCCATGTGTTGTGCAGAATGGTAACAGCCAGTTTATAAATCTGTTCGAAATCTGTTCAGCGCCCTTGAAGCCAAAGTTCTACAGACCAGGACTTCTGTGAAGGAATACCTGTTGGAATGGTATTGTTGAAGAAAATAATTGTGTAACACTATGGGGAAGGGTACATGAGTATGGGCAGACATGTCTCAGTGGTGAGGGGGTGGGTGGACAGAGTTGCCCATTGGTGATTATAAAATACTTTGAGTTCCCGAAGACCTCCAGAAAGAACACCAAATTGCACAATTTTTTGCAGAAGAATTGCTTACTCAAGTGAGCCCCGTTTTCTCCAAGGAGCCATTGCAACCAAACCAGAAACTTGCAAAACTCTTTTTGTGGCGGATGAGGGAAGAACATCTTGGGAAACCCTGAAGGAAGGCTTGACATCCTTTGTGACAGCACAGTTGAATTCTCATATTTAATGTGCAAAATGCTCTCCTTCCTAAAATCAGGGCTTCTTTTTAAGGAAGACAGAGAGTGCAATTGTGTTTGCATTTACTTGGACCTGAACCCCTTTGGATTCAATATTTGTTATTTCCAAATAATAATAATAATAATAATAATAATCAGGAAAATTGAAGAAAGAGACCGAGGGACTAATTCTGGCTGCACAAGACCAAGCCTTAAGGACAAATGCATACAAAGTCAAAATTGAGAAGACAGCAACAGACAGTAAGTGCCGCCTATGCAAAGAAGCTGAAGAAACAGTGGACCACTTGGTGAGCTGTTGCAAGAAGATTGCACAAACTGATTACAAGCAGCGGCATGACAAAGTAGCAACAATGGTGCATTGGAAGATCTGCAAAAAATATCATTTGCCTGTAAGCAAAAACTGGTGGATCATAAAATAGAGAAAGTCATAGAAAATGATAAAATTAAACTGCTCTGGGACTTCAGAATTCAAACAGACAAGCACCTGCAACATAACACCCCAGACTTAACAATTGTCGATAAGAAAGACAAAAAAGTCTGGATAGTGGACGTGGCAGTGCCTGGAGATAGCAGAATAGAAGAGAAAGAACTGGAGAAGATAACAAAATACAAAGACCTACAAATAGAAATAGAAAGACTGTGGCAAAAGCAAGCAAGGGTAGTACCAATAGTCATAGGCTCCTTGGGTGCAATCCCAAAACAACTGGAGCACCACTTGAACACCATTGGCATTGACAAATTCGCTATTAGTCAATTGCAAAAGGCGGCCTTATTAGGAACTGCTTCCATCCTGCGACGATATCTGTAATACCATCAAACATCCACATCTGCCTATCCCAGGTCCTGGGTAAGGACTCGATAGGTAGACAAAATGCCAAATCCAGTCTGAACATCTGGCTGACTGTGCGATGATCGATAATAATAATAATAATAAAGTTGGAAGGGACTTTGGAGGTCATCTCGTCCAACCCCCTGCTCAGGCAGGAAACCCTATACCATTTCAGACAAACAGTTGTCCAATCTCTTCTTAAAAACTTCCAGTGTTGGAGCACTCACCGCAGGTTGTTCCACTGGTTAATTGTTCTAACTGTCAGGAAGTTTTTTTCTTAGTTCCAGGCTGCTTCTCTCCTTGATTAGTTTCCACCCGTATATGTACTCAATATGTATTCCACTCAATATGTAATTGAGCTAAATTGAAAGCAATCCAGGAGAAATCCATCTCTGAAATGCCAGAAGATGAGTATCTTCTTTTGGAGAACCTTTCCCTTGAACCTTAATTCATGGATTGGATCATGACTGGAGCTATGGTCCCCCAGGTAGTGTCTTAATGAGTAAATGAGATACTAGTGAGAAACTGAAAGCTAGTAGCCATTTCCTAAAGCTACTCTTGCTGTTGTTGTTAGTGTCCGACCCATCGCGATCCCATGGACAACGTTCCTCCAGGCCTTCCTGTCCTCAACCATCTTCTGGAGTCCATTTAAGCTCACACCAACTGCTTCAGTGACTCCATCCAGCCACCTCCTTCTCTGTCATCCCCTTCTTCTATTGCTCTCGATCTTTCCCAGCATTAGGCTCTTTTCCAGGGAGTCTTTCCTTCTCATTAGGTGGCCAAAGTCCTTGAGTTTCAACTTCAGGATCTGGCCTTCTAAAGAGCAGTCAGGGTTGACTCTACTCTTGCTTTAAGTCCAAGGGGACCATTAATACACTGGAGAGAATCTGAGCCTGGATCTCGTTCCTAGCAAGCAGTGTGCCCAAGTGACCAAATTATTTATGCTTAGTCAGTCTTCTAGCATAGTCAAAATAGCATTTTTGAGTTCTTATCGTTGTTCTCTAAAATACTAATTCTACCTTATTCTCAGGTGGCAAGAAATGGGGAGTCTTTATTTTCTTTTCTTTGTATCTGCATCCACTTGGATGAATTCCTTGTAGGTTTCCAGTAAGGTCATATGATTGAGAAACTGGAGCTGGTGTTACTTAACTCATGTTCTTTAAAAGGACGGCTAAGCCCTTTGTGCATGATCTTTATTCAGGTCCTCTTTGAACATCTGAAATTGCCAAGTGAGTGGATCCAGTTTTACTTTGTCCTTTTTCTGGTGGGTCTTTGGGGAAAACAGGAGAATGAACTTTGCTCATGAAATAGATTATATTGATAACTGCCACTACTTCCTTATAAAAGCTGATCTTTTGCCTGTGCTCTACAGCTTTGATTAATTTCAACCACTCCTGGCTTCTTAGGTCGATAAAAATCTGCTTTTTGATTACTAAGTGCTTTCCATATCTGATTCTTCATCTCTCTGGGCTTATCTCAAAATTATCTTCAGCTTTCACGGCTCTGCATCCAGCGACAGTCTAATTTGTATTGTTATCGCCTTGTTGAACTCCTTGATTTAAAACACAGCCGGCCAGCTGAAGACTTTGTTAGGAGGTCTGCTGCAAAAGAAATTGGAGTTTGCGTAACTTTTCAGAATTTCGCAGAAGAAGAGGAAAAATGAGCGTGCAGAGCTTCCTGTGCAAAACCATGCTGGTTCGGCTACATTTTGTCTATCAATCAAGGAACGAAGTGTGTCCCTCTGATCAAAATGAAGACCCTACTTGTTTTAGATTCCCGTGCTGTAATTTTTAATCAGTTTACTTTAGAGTTGGGATCATGAAGAAGGATTATAGGCAGAGGTAAAGTCCTTGGTTCAATCCCTGGTTTGGTTTGCAGTGTTATAACGGTGACCCCAAAGATCAAGTGGGCCCTGAAGAATTTCTAATATCATCTAGCCTGTAAGCCAATCAGGTCATGGTGTCATCTTCAAGGTTTATTCTTTACTTAGTGATGATCCCAACTTAGCAGCAGCAGGCAGTTAGATAACTGAGAAGTAGGACTTTGCAAATCCTTGCATGGAGGATTTGATTCAATGACGCTTCAATCAACCTTCCCTCCCAAACAGTGGTGGGATCCAGCTGGTTCACACCACTTTGGCAGAACCGGTAGCTAATTTTTTGTTGCCCAGGCCCAGAATGGACTTCCCGAAGTGGCATCCACACAGAGAACCGGTTGCTCACCTATTTGAATCTCACCACTGTTCCCAAAGTAGATTCACCAAATGAATCCATTTTGAAGCAGTGGAATCAGTGAATCAGTGTCTCCAAGACATCTGGAGAGCTTTCTCAAATACTTTAAAGATTTGATGGCTTTTCTGCTGCTTTGGACGGAATGTGGCAATTTCAGTTCCCTATGTGGAGAAAATGGAGAAGAAGCAGGTTGAATGTTGCAAGCGCATTGACAGGACACACACACACACACACACACACACACACACACACCAGATAATATGATTTATCCATTTGTTCAAGTCTCTATATCAGATTTGTATCTGGGATGACAAGACTAAGCTTGCTTCAGGCTTCCTTAGCTAAAGGATCTCTCATTCTGGTGAGAGAGAAGTTCCTAAGGGTGGGCTCCAGCATGACTCCAAACAAAATCTCGGAAGATTAAGCCTCTAGTCCTGATGGCTGATATTTAGGCTTGGATTGTTCTTCTTCCATGTTAGTCATGCCAAGACAACCAAGAACTAAGCAAACCTATCAGCATTTTACATTCAGTATGAGTTCAAGGCTGACCTGATTTTAAAACTGGTGCAGAGTTAGATATTTAATGAAGAGAAGGACGAGGGGGGACAGGATAGCAGCGTTCCAAAATCTCAGGGGTTGCCCCAAAGAAGAGGGAGTCAAGCTATTCTCCAAAGCACCAAAAGGCAGGACAAGAAGCAATGGACGGAAACTCATCAAGGAGAGAAGCAACCTAGAACTAAGGAGAAACTTCCTGACAATAAGAACAATTAACCAGTGGAACAACCTGCCTCCAGAAGCAGTGAATGCTCCAACACTGGAAGTTTTTAAGAAGAGACTGGATGGCCATTTGTCTGAAATGGTATAGGGTTTCCTGCCTGAGCAGGGGGTTAGACTAGAAGACCTCCAAGGTCCCTTCCAACTCTATTATTATTGTTGTTGCTGTTGTTTGTTATTGTTGCTATTGTTATTGTTATTATTATTATTCATTATGGGCCCAACTTTCTGAAAAGAGGAGGGCCATGTCAAAGTCTATTAAGGCTACTTGCTCAGTGCCAGTCTCTCTCTCTTTCTTTCTTTCTTTCTTTCTTTCTTTCTTTCTTTCTTTCTTTCTTTCTTTCTTTCTTTCTTTCTCTCTCTCTCTCTCTCTCTCTCTCTCTCTCTCTCCTTTCTTTCTTTCTCTCTCTCTCTTCCTTTCTCTCTTTCTCCCTCTCTTTTTCTCTTTCTTTCTTTTCTTCTCTCTCTCTCTCTCTCTCTCTCTCTCTCTCCTCTGTCTCTCCCTCTCTCTCTCTCTCTCCCCCTTGCCTGTTTCTATGGCCCCATATTTCATTATACCAGCCTGTTTCTGCAACTTTGGTATTTAAGGACAGTTCGGCCCTAGGGGCTTAGCACTATTTCATTCCTTCCACTCAGCCATCACTCAAGTGATAAAACGCCTGTCTACATTACAGATAATGTTGACCGAGTGATGGGTGGGTGAATGTAGAAGATGTTACAAATAGTGCTGCGATCCTGGAAATGGTGAAGGTTATTTTTTTTCCCAAAAAGAACTACTCTTGCCACCTATTTTGGCAATCCCCATAAAACCCATTGATAGTAGGAGCAAAGCTACAGTATTCCAGAAGGAAGGAATGTGAAGAAAAGGTAGAAAGAAGAAGGAAGTCTGTAGTCTTCTTCTGAGGCCATAGTGTCCATTCTGCCTTGTGTATCCTGAGGACCCATCAAGGTCAGTGATGAGAGGTTTCTTCCAGGAGGATCTAAGCTTTACAAATAACTAGGAAATCCTGTGATCAGAAGCCACAAAATTTGATCTGGGGTCACCTCAGAGACACAAATGGAAAGAGAAGACAGAAAAACAAATTAACAGAGTTAGCAGGGACCATGGAGGTCTTCTAGTCCAACCCCCTGCTCAGGCAGGGAATCCTATACCATTTCAGACAAATGGTTGTCCAATCTCTTGGGAAAAACCTCCAGTGTTGGAGCACCCACAACTTCTGGAGGCAAGCTGTTCCACTGATTGTTCTTACTGTTAGGAAATTTCTCCTTAGTTTTAGGCTGGCTCTTTCCTTGATTCGTTTCCATCCATTGCCTTCAGATTCTCTGGAGAACAGGTTGATCCTCTTTTATTTGTGCCAGCCCTTTATATATTGGAAGGCTGCTATCATGTCACCTCTCATCCTTCTTTTCATTAAACTAGACATACTCAATTCCTTCAGCGGTTCTTAATGTTTTAGCCTCCAGTCCCTTAATCATCTTTGTTGCTCTTCTCTGCACTCTTTCTGGAGTTTCAGATCTCTGCCCTTTCTCTGTCCTAAAAGAAACATAATGTGGAATTAATTCAAAATTTGATTGAGGGAAAACCCTTGATGGTGTCTTAGATTTGGCAAGGTCCTCCACGGGGCCTATCAACCACGCTACCTTGATTCCATTCAATTTTGGAGGGAAAATCTTCTCCCCAAACACCAACCTCTAGACTAGAGATCCAGACAACCCTTTCGTTTCTCCAAAGGAAACAGGTTACAGTGACACACTGGTCCCTTCTACTAAGAAGAAAAGGCCAGAGCTGTAGCCGTACATGCAGAATGTTGATCAAAGACAGTTTGATCATGGCTATGCATTAATGGAGATCCCAGAAGAATCATGCTACCACTGACAAGAAAACAAAAACACCACAACATCAAAAACCAGGAACATAAGCACAATGCAGACACAGTCTTGCAAGGGAGTTGGGTGGCTTTGATTTGCGACTTATTCCAAAGCTCTAATTGGTATTCTGACAAGCAGTCCCGGTATTTGACTGCAAAGAGAGATAAGGAAGTGGTGCAACAGACATATAGTTTTCTCCCAAGGCACGAATTCTTTTTTTTTTTAATTGAAAATTTTTAAATTTTACAAAACAATACAGTTCCCTTCCCCAAACCCCCCCAACCCTCCCATGCCCTCCCCCAACCTTCCCAGAGCTGAATACAGGCTTAATTAATATTTTTTCAAAAAGTCTTAAAACAAATATAAACCATAAACAAATCTAAATACATTAATTAAAGAACTTGTAAACTAGTTAACAATAATATATGTATAAAAAAAACAAAAATACAAGGAAATACGAGAAAATAGGAAGAAAGAAAAAGGAAAAAAGTCTATAAAATATCTTAAATTTTAAATATAAGTTATTGAAAAGCTAAATAATATTTTTTATATCCAACTTATATTGTATAAAGTCTATCCATTTTTTCCAGACCAAAAAATACTTCTCCTGCGATTGATCTTTCAAGAAAGCCGAAATCTTTGCCATTTCCGCCAAATAAGAAACTTTAAAAAACCACTCTTGCAAGGTAGGCAAAGATTCCTTCTTCCAACATTGCCCTACTAAGAACCTTGCCGCTGTGATTAAATTTAACATCAACCAAGGCACGAATTCTATCATCAATTAGCTACTAACAAGCACAAGTAGCTAAGGGGCACAACCCAAAAAAAATTCCATTTTTAAAAATTTCTACAGGAGAGGTAGGTGTAAAAAAGACACCTAGGAAAAAGAAAAAAAACCAAAAGAAAAACAAAGAAGGCACCTATGGAAAAGACACCTGTGAAACAGGCATAGGATCAAAATCACATGAAGTCTTAGTACCACTTTGTAAAGCCGTAGTAAGGCCACACTGGAATACCTGCATCCAGTTTGGGTCACCACATTACAAAAAAGATGTTGCGACTTTGGGAAAAAAAAAAAGTGCAACGAAGAGAACTAAGATGATTAAAGGCCTGGAGGCTAAAATATATGAAGAACGATTGCAGGAACTGGGTATGGCTAGTCAAGAGAAGACAAGGAACAGGGATGGCATGATAGTAGTATTCCAGTATTTGAGAGGTTGCCACAAAGAGGAGAGGGTCACCCTATATTCCAAAGCACCACAAAGCAGGACAAGAAATAATGGATGGACAGGAGAGAAGCAGCCTGGAATTAAGGAGAAACTTCCTAACAAGGAGGACAATTAACCAGTGGAACAGCTTGCCTCCAGAAGTTGTGGGTGCTTCATCACTGGAGGTCTTTAAGAAGAGACTGGACAGTCACTTGTCTGGAATGGTATAGGGTCTCGTCCTTAAATGGGGGTTGGACTAGAAGATCTCCAAGGTTCCTTCCAGCTCTATTCTGATTGATGGCAATAAGAAAGTATAGGATTATGTAACAAATTCAACCTGGGTTCACTTCCCAACACTCCAGTTTGTAAAAAAAAAAAAAAAAAAAGAGAAAAAGTTAACTGCTTGGATGCATCTTTTTTTAAAAGTTTTTTTTATTTATAATACAGTTAAAACAAAGTGGACATACCGTAACATTCCAGGATAAATATTTCTAACAAATTGTTCCTCTTCTTACATACAGTTCTTTATCTCTCTATATACCGTACTTTCTGGTGTATAGGACAACTTTTTGAAGCGTTGAAATTGGTGCCAAAGTCAGGAGTCGTCTTATACACTGAGTCATCTTATATGCCGGAAATAATGGTAGTTTCTGGCATATAAGACGACTCTCTAGGCATGCAACTTGGTGCCAAAGTCAGGGGTTGTCTTATACTCCGGGTCACCTTATACGCCGGAATATACGGTATATATATATTTTTCTATACAATATCTAATTTATTTCTCTATTTACTAACCTAAAATTATGTGTATTTCTATCTTAACAGTAGACTATAATCCAGACAGTCCTCCTTGATTCACACCAGTAGTAGAATTTGTCCCAGATTTCACAGTAATCTGATTCAGTCTTGTCCTTCAGTTCCATTGTGAGCCTGTCCATATCGGCACACGATAATATTTTGCATAGTATCTCTTCCTCTGCTGGGGTTTCTTTATTCCTCCAATTTTGTGCATACGCCAATCTAGCAGCAGCGAGGATGTGTAGCATCAGACAGAATATCCCTTTGTCATATTTCTGTATAGTTCTGCCCAATAGGAAAAGTTCTGGTTTTAACTCTACCTCTATCGTTAATATTTCTTCCAGCCATTTTTTTTAATCTTATTTGCTTGGATGCATCTTATTTGAGATATTTATTTTTACTCTGCCTTCCAGAGCTGATCAAGTAGAATTAGGTTGCCCTAAAATGTTATATTTCTATCTCAGGTGGAAACCTCTCTTTGCGTGTCGAACTGTCAACTTAGATCGGCTGAGAGCTGAATCTGACATGTCCTATACCCCCATATTTTTACTTATTTCTCCTTCACACTTTTTTTCCCCTCCAGGTCCTTAGCAATGCTCGTGGTCCTGCTCTTTTGTGCTTTTGCATCAGCAGTGTCGTCAGTATCCACCCCAGCACCAAAACAAGAAGTGCACAGCTGGAATGCGTGTTCCTTGGTGGTGTGTGGACCAGCTGAGAAAGGGATACCAGGACGGGACGGCCGAGATGGAATTCAAGGATTAAAAGGGGAAAAGGGAGAACAAGGTCTGGAATTCATGCCTTTCTGGTGTTGTTTAATTCTCTTTTTTTTTTTGGAGGGGGGGGGTTCAGCTTTGTGGACATGCATTAAAAGAGGTATTTTTTTTTCCTCTTGCATTTTTCTCCAGTGTATTTGCTCCATTGGGGGAGTGAAGTGTATGCCCATGGAATCAAAAATTCTCTTTTCTACTGATTCTTCCCTTTGTTCACTTGTTCCTGTCACTCTCTCTCCAGTTGGCTCTTAATAGGCAGAAAGAAAGAAAACTCATCAATGCGCTGATGATGTTAACTAGTTCGGTAATGAAACATCTACAAGGAAATCAACCAAGCTCAGAGAGCACCTAGGGCCGACTCCACAAAAACCCAGGACAGAAATTTGTACCAATTACTTGAAAGATTATATAATAATAATAATAATAATAATAATAATAATAATAATAATAGTAGTAGTAGTAGTAGTAGTAGTAGTAGTAGTAGTAGTAGTAGTAGTAGTACATGGCAGTGCCTGGAGACAGCTGAATAGACGAGAAAGAACTGGAGAAGATAACAAAATAAAAAGACCTACAAATAGAAATAGAAAGACTGTGGCAAAAGCAAGCAAGGGTAGTACCAATAGTCATAGGCGCCTTGGGTGCAATCCCAAAACAACTGGAGCACCACTTGAACACCATTGGCATTGACAAATTCGCTATTAGTCAATTGCAAAAGGCGGCCTTACTAGGAACTGCTTCCATCCTGCGATGATATCTGTAATACCATCAAACATCCACATCTACCTATCCCAGTTCCTGGGTAAGGACTTGATAGGTAGACAAAATGCCAAATCCAGTCTGAACATCTGGCTGACTGTGCGATGATCCATAATAGCAAAGTTGGAAGGGACCATGGAGGTCTTTTAGTCCAACCCCCTGCTCAGGCAGGAACCCTATACCATTTCGGACAAATGGCTGTCCAGTCTCTTCTTAAAAACTTCCAGTGTTGGAGCATTCACCACTTCTGAAGACAAGGAGTTCCACTGGTTAATTGTTCTAACTGTCAGGAAGTTTCTCCTTAGTTCTAGGTTGCTTCTCTCCTTGATTAGTTTCCACCCGTATATGTACTCAATATGTATTCCACTCAATATGTAATTGAGCTAAGGACCACAGAAAATTAGAATGGGATTTGTAGGTTAGCACCGCCCTTTTCTAGTCCTCGGGAGTCCTTTGTACCAATGTTCTGACAGCTGCTTGTGACTCTGTGTTATAAGTAAAATGAGCTCAGTGCCATGTGTAGTAACTTCAATTTGGGTAGAGAGTAGAATTTACAAATCAGCTCTGCCCTGATTTTCTTCAGAAGTCAGTTTGGAGGAGAATGGAACAGAAGGTAACTCTGGATTATATGGAAGATCTTTCTTTGTATTTAGGGGAACATGGATATAGTTTCCCATCGGGTTTCTGGCTGAACATGCAGAGATCGGGAAGAATAGAAGGCATCTGAATTTATCCACATATTTCATCAAATGGATTAAACAGATCTTTAATCTCAGAGTTTGACCCAAAAGATTTGTATTGTTAATCCCTGTTTCAATCTTGACAGGAAGGAAGGAAGGAAGGAAGGAAGGAAGGAAGGAAGGAAGGAAGGAAGGAGGGAGGGAGGGAGGGAGGGAGGGAGGGAGGGAGGGAGGAAGGGAGGGAGGGAGGGATGAAGAAAGGAAAGGAAAGGAAAGGAAAGAAAAGGAAAAAAGAGTGGGAGGGAGGGAGGAAGGAAGGAAGAAAGGAAGAAAGAAAGAAAGAAAGAAAGAAAGAAAGAAAGAAAGAAAGAAAGAAAGAAAAGAGAAAAGAGGGGGAGGGAGGAAGGGAGGAAGGGAGGCCTACTTACATTGACTCTATTTATATTTCTTTCTACCTCATGTCATCAACTATGCTTTATGTACAAATTTAAAACATTTCCCTCACCTTACCAAGTATCTTGCTTTCTAGCTGTGGTCAACAATAGGGTGCAAACACACAAGAGTTAAAGAAAAAAAGATAATAGAATACATCTGCTGTTTGCAAGCCCGATAGATCAAGTCTTACAAATCAAAGTGAAGGGAGCATCAGGACTTGAAGTTACCCACTGGTGGAGAGCATCAAGATGGTCAAGTAACGACCCCTCAGAAAGTTCAGAGCTTTCCTTGGTTTCATCGGTTTATCAAATCTTTATGTAAATTATGTAATACCGGCTGGTGTGTCCCATATTTATAATTTAGCTTTGGGCACCTGTTATGCAGCTCTCTATTTGGTGAGTCATTTCTTCACTTTTGAAGTTGGGTAACTTGAAGGAAACTGAGAATACTGAGAAGCCAGCAAAGATTTATCAGAGGAGGGTATTAAAAGTCTAAGATGACCACCTTCCTATTTTGGAGAACTTTCTTAAATTTCCAAGTAGGTTAAGATAATTCAGGAAGTAATTTGAGTAGACCTTTCTTGAAGGCCGTTGAGCTTCACTTAGTATAATCTCTCTCATGGCTTAAGAACCCTGAGCTTCTCCTCAATACATTTTTTTTAAAAAAACTCCTATTATGATTAGTCAAAATAATCTTTGTTGCCTGGGAATTGTTGGAACTGAAGTCCAACATACCAAGAACACAGCTTGTGGGGAAAAAAGCCAGGATAATCATGACTTTAAACATGGAAGTGAACAAAGCTCAGTTGATGAAGGAAGGTGGATGGGACCCCATGACTTGCATGAATCAATTTTCAGAGCTGCTTTTCAAATATTATTAATTTAGCAAGAATTGTGAACTAGACTTTTATTTAAATTAGGTTTAAATCAGATTGAGATGTGCCCAAGGCGCCTATTCCTATTGGATACTACTTTTAGTTTCTTTGGGCCAATCTATGGAGGTTCTCCATCATCCATGTCATGGTTGTCCCAAAGGTGCTTTTTCAGGAGGCAACTGGACTTTCTTGTTTTTCTTTGAAGACGTTTCAATTCTCACCCAAGAAGATTCTTCACCTCTGACTGGATGGTGGGGAATGGAAGGATTTATACTCCTTGCAGATGGCTGGTCATTTGCATTCTTTTAGAGAGCCGTTGAGGCCGCTTGGAGGTCTACCTTTGTCCTCAGGGTCACCTGAGTAGTGCAAATGGGTGTGGAGCCTTCTTGGTTGTAGGATGTTTTCTGTCCCTTCATCATTGAAGACAGGCCGAGACTGCTGGGGATGAGTCTGTGTTGTCTCCATCTCAAACAGAAGCGCAAATGGTTCCTGGAGTCTGCCATATTTTCTGGAAATGCGTTCATCCTCCCGCACTCTTTGCAGGGCATTCATCTCAAAGTGCATAGCTCAATGTCTATGGAGGTTCTCAGTCCTCCAAATCCTGATTGTCGCAAAGGTGATTTTTCAGGAGGCAACTGGACTTCCTTGTTTTTCTTTAAAGATATTTTGCTTCTTATCCAAGAAGCTTCTTCAGCTCTGACTGGACGGTGGAGAATGGATGGATTTATATTCCTTGCAGACAGCTGGTCGTTTGCCTTCTTTTAGAATTTGCCACAGTCATTCTAATTTCTGTTTGCAGACCTTTGTATTTTTTTTAATCTTCTCCAGCTCTTTTTTCTTCTGCTGTCTTCAGGTACTGCCACATCCACTATCCAGACTAGGCTGAAGACTGCTGTAAGAGAGCCCATCCACCTTTCTGCTGACCTTCCTCTTTTTCTCTCTCCTTATACCAGTGTTTCTCAACCTTGACAATTTTAAGCCATGTGGACTTCAACTCCCAGAATTCCACAGCCAGCAAAGCTGGCTGTGGAATTCTGGGAGTTGAAGTCCACATGCCTTAAAATTGTCAAGTTGAGAAACACCGCCTTATACCTTTCAGGCCTAAGAGCTTTCTCCACAGAGCTGGGTCTTTGCATCATGTATCCAAAGCGGGATAATTTGAGCTCAATCACATGTGCCCCTAGTTAGAACCCTGGGGTGATTAGAGAAGTGGGGCAAATGGATTTGATAGTTAGGCTTACTCTGTACAGGGCTAATCACTTTAAATTTCTCATGGGCCACATAGATTTGCATGCCTTTTTCCAAAAGCACTCAACATCAGCTAATTACTAATCCTTGCTTCCATTTGTTTAAAGGACTGTTAGGCCCAAAAGGAAGCCTGGGTCCTCCAGGGAAGATGGGGCCAGCTGGACCAGCAGGACAAAAAGGGTCTCAGGGGAATCCTGGAACAAAAGGCGATGCTGGACAAATAGGTAAGATGCATCCGAGGTCACGTGTCAATATCCAGCTTGGGGATCCAAATAAAAGTCCAGGTTCATTCTGTTTCTGAAAATTTTTACTGTTTATTGAATGCACAGCATGGTAAAGTCAAAGCAAAACTAACTTTGAGGTTGCCAGACACCAGCTCATAGAATTAAACAATAATTTCTCTGGCCCAACCCCCCCTCCTCTCATGTAGTTCATGTAAACAATTTCACTTTGTTATGGGAACCGTCTGCTTCTTCTCCACACCTGCTGCGGTGTCCTTGGAAAGCTTTCAGGATGTCATAGTCTTTAGTGGAATCGTAGAGGATTCGTTTCTCCATCTAACCCATTCTAAAGCAACACATTCCCCCTCCCTTACTCTAATGGAAAGTTGAAATGAAGAGGCATGTAGCTGCCCAAGTTTTGTTCTTGACGTCACTTTTATGGTTTCCAGTTTTCCCAGTTGTTAAATGAGGCATCCAACACACCCAATTTGACAAACTTTTTTTTTTGCCACATTTGTTAAAGTGAATCCAACTTCCCTCATTGACTTTGCTTGTCAGAAGCCAGCTGGAAGGTCACAAATTGCAATCAGCTGACCACAGAATGCTGCACCCCAAATCATGACCATGTGATGATGTGGGTGGTACGATGGTTGTACCTTTGAGGACAGGTCATGACTCCCTTTTATTGGTGCCATCATAACCTTGAACCATGGTTAAACAAATGTTTGTAAATTGACAGTACACGACCTGTATCATCATGTACCATTGAGCTATCTAATCAAGGCTTACTGACAGCCAGCTTCATTGCTCAGAGATATGTCTGGTCTGCATCTCCAATACTGTAGTTTACTGTAGAATAGAATAGAATAGAATAGAATAGAATAGAATAGAATAGAATAGAATAGGACAGGACAGGACAGGACAGGACAGGACAGGACAGGATAGGATAGGATAGGATAGGATAGGATAATAGAACAGAGTAGAGTAGAGTAGAGTAGAGTCAAACAGAATAGAATAGAATAGAATAGAATAGAATAGAATAGAATAGAATAGAATAGAATAGAATAGAATAGAATAGAATAACAGAGTTGGAAGAGACCTTGGGGGGTCTTCTAGTCCAACCCCTTACTCAGGCAAGAAACCCTATACCATTTCAGACAAATGGTTGTCTAATCTCTTCTTAAAAGCTTTCAATGCTGGAACAAGTTGTTCCACTGGTTGATTGTTCTCCCCATCAGGAAATTTCTCCTTAATTCCAGGTTACTTCTCTCCTTGATCAGTTTCCATCCCTTGCTTCTCATCCTGCTTTCAGGTGCTGTGGAAAATAGCTTGACTCCCTCTTCTTTGGGGCAGCCCCTGAGATATTGGAACCCTGCTATCATGTCATTCTATATCCTGTAGCTCTGGGTTGGACACAATAGATCACTGTTCTCCCTAATACATTGCTCTCTCTTTTCTAACATTTATTTCCTTTGACCAGGACCACGTGGGATTCAGGGTTTGCAAGGTCCTTCTGGAAATGTGGGCCCTTCTGGACCGAAAGGTAACATTGGCCCACAAGGTGAGAAAGGTGTCAAAGGAGAAATGGGTAAGTGTGTTTAATTAAGAGAGACTGAGTTCCTTCTACTGATGCTCCAGAATTGGATTAAAAAATAATGATCAAAGAAGAGTGTAACAAGGTGTTCGATGGATCGATGAGGGGGGGGGCTGTATTCTTTCAAACATCAATTAAGAGATCATTGGCAGTCCATCTGTAATGTCCCAAAGGGATCTCCTTTTCAAGGAGGTTGGAAAGATCCGTGAGTTTATCGAAGCTACTGAGCAAGGTCAAAGCGGTTTTCCAAATTCTGTCTTCAAACCTTCTTCGGGGGTTGGTATATCTGGCAAAAATAAAAATAAAAATAGCACTATGCTTTCTCTCCTATGCATCTACAGCTATCGGATCCCGAGCCTAGATTTGAATTTGCATAGGCTTGTAATTGTAATAAATAAATTCTTAAACAAATAGAGAGCTAGATCAAGCATCCAAGAATTTGTGGGGGGGCCGGCACAAAACACTAAGAAAACAGAAGATTTGCTAGGAGGCAGCTCACATCAACGTCAGATGCAAGAAATTGTAGAGTTTCTGTTTTTCTACGGTTCTGATCGGTTTTGTTGCAATGCCATGATGAATCTGGGGGGCATGAATTGAGAAGTATCAGATTCATTTTATGAAAAAAAAAATGGATTAGATTAGGAGGCTACCTGCCCTAGTCTTTTATTGGGCATTAACAAAGCAAAACTCAAAACCAAAAATGACGTTCTTGTTTTGTCATCTTTATTTTTGCAAAGCACCTGTCTTGTTTTGAATGTTTTTTTTCCCATCTTCAATATTGCTGTAGGTCTCAAAGGAGCCCTTGGTCCTCCAGGACCCCAAGGCAAAATAGGTGCCCCTGGACCAGCTGGGGCCAAAGGATCAATGGGCGAAAAGGGAGCAAAAGGAGACCGGGGTGTCCAAGGTAAGTCAAGAGTTGTGCCACATTGAACTTCAAGCATTGCTTTGGCTGAAAAACATCTTTTTGCAGGACCCTTGGGTTGATTTGATTGGCAAATAGGTTGTTTGTCCTACTCTCGGCTTCTGAAAGTGGCAGGAGACAAGAGGGGAGGGGGCTTTGAAGTGAAGATAAAAGGAAAGAAGAAGTTAGAGAACAAAAAAGGGGAGGGTAGAAGGAGCAAACAGGGGCAGGAAGCAAAGTCTTGGGAAAGTTTTTCCATTCTTGCAAAACCAGGAAAGAGAAATAGATGTTTTAGCTAAGAAGAAAAGAAAGAAAGAAAGAAAGAAAGAAAGAAAGAAAGAAAGAAAGAAAGAAAGAAAGAAAGAAAGGGGGGAAGGAAGGAGGGAGGAAGGGAGGGAGAGGGAGGGAGAAAGAAAGAAAGAAAAGAAAGAAAGAAAGAAAGAAAGAAAGAAAGAAAGAAAGAAAGAAAGAAAGAAAGAAAGAAAATGTATTTCTCCAGACATGAATGCCACAACTCTACCCCAAAATTAAGAGATTACAGGGTTGTAAAAAGGGAGGTTTCATTCATTCATTCATTCATTCATTCATTCATTCATTCATTCATTTTAATCAAGAATGGGGTAGGGAGACAAACCAAATGCCTAGTGATTGTCATCCAGGTTTCTTGACCAGATTGTAGAAGCACTTGTCCTTGGCTGCTTCTTGACAAGTTTTTTTTCTCCCCGTCCCAACTCTCTAGTCTGCAATCCTGGTCTTCCTTCATGGTCTTCCACCCAGCCCCTAAACACGTCCAGTCTAGGACCAGTTAGCAAGGAGCTCCCTACATCTTTGTGCTCCATCTCACAATCCTCTGCAGTTTTGCAGATCAGGTCTAGGAAACCCAGAGCAATAACAGTGCTTGAGGGTCTGCTGCCATATGCAGTTTGGTCCATAATTAGTTTTCCTGTGAGATACCAGATGCTGGAGCCCCATTGGTGCTTTGTGACCCTAATCCTGCAGCCTGGGAAATGAGCTCTCATCTAAGAATGAGGTTGGCTTCAGCTCCTTCTCTTTGCTCTTTTTCTGATTGGACACCTGCTTGTTTATTTATTTATTTTTGTTTTAAGCAAATTGGCCAAGTTAGAGGTGGAACCATCAAAAAAACCCCTTAATTGAATTCCACCTAATTTGGCCACAGCAAACCAATTCTAAGAAGTCAAGGAGCTACCTTAAGGTGCCCATGCATTCATCAGGGGTTGAGTTGGAGATTGAAGAGGACTATATTTTCGAGTTGTAGCAGATGGCAGCAGATTGGCTGATCTCAAAAAGCTAAGCCAAGTCAGGGCCAATTAGCAGTTGGATAGCATCCACCAGGACATCCCTAGTCCGCAGACTGAACTGAGAAGTTGGAAACCATCCCAGCAGGTGGCGGAGAAACTACATCAATATCTTTGTTGAGAAAGATGCAATAAGAATTGAGCTTGACTCAAAGAAGACTTAGTCCAAAGAAAGTTACGCTTCCACCCCCATCATGTGTTCTTTAGAAATGTATCTCACCTTATGGTTTTTTAAGATCTGGATTGTTTCAATAATCAATTGAGTGTTTTAAATTAGTGGGTGATGTTTTTGTATGATAATATAGATGTGGTAAGGCATGATAATCAATTGGATGAAATTTGAAATTTGCTTAACGAACTGAAATGATTTAAAGCTTAATATTATTTTGTCACTTTAATTATATAATGGATTAAAGGTAATTTAGAAGAAGAATGTATTTTTTAGAATGATAGATTTATTTGTATGAAAATTATTATGCAATGGAATGAAGAAAATTGAAGAGATGTTTTAGATTTGGATTGAATTAATCATTAATTGAGTTAATTTAACAAGATGATGTGTTTGTTTGATGACATGGATGTCAGTAGTTGTGATAATTAACTGGATGTAATTTGAAGTCTGTCCAATGGATTGAAATGATTTGAGATCTGACATTATTCTGTCAGCTTAAAGAGATTGATTAATTGAGGGATTAGGTATGTACAGGATAGATCAATATTTTATTTTAAATAGGGGATATTACTGGAAGAAGAAATAAATAAGATGTATGTTAAAATTAAGGAACTGGAATATATTTGGAAGGGAAACCTGAATTGATAATGTTTTTATTTAAAGTTATTTTGATTACGGTATTTTAAATTCATAAAGCTTTAAAAGGTTCAGGTTGAATAAATTTAAGCTAGAATTGGATTATTTTAAATATACTATGCTATTTGAGGGGAAAAGAGAGGGAATATTTGATGTATTAATTGTACTATATATATATGTGTGTGTGTGTGTGTGTGTGTGTGTGTGTGTGTGTGTGTGTTTTCTGAGGCTTTTGTGGGTGTTTGTATGTAGTTCTTTAGTTATTCAGGTTTTCTCCTGCGTATAAACTGCCAAGACACTTCCAATTTTACGCAGGAGAAAACCCGAATAACCCAAAAACTATATATATATATATATATATAGTTTTTTTTAACTGTTATGTAAATTTATGCACATACTCCCCCTTCTCATTTAGCCCTTTGCTCTGATGATGTTAACAAGTTGCTAATCTTACATCCCAAAATTTGCATAAAAATACGACTCCTGGGCATGTCTATGGTACAAATAAAACACGAACACCAGGAGAGTATAAATATAAAAATATACTTTACTAAAAGCTGCCAAGCTTTCGTTTGGAAACTCCAAACATCATCAGGGCCATATATAACCATCACCATGATGGTTATATATATATGTTTTCTGAGGCTTGGCTTCTCCTGCTTCGAGGAGCAAAGCACGAAGCACGAAGCTGAAAACACCAGCCTGAAGATGACGAATGGGACTTCATTGAAACGTCGCCAAGACACTTCCAATTTTACGCGGGAGAAAACCCGAACAACCAAAGACCTATATACAAATACCCGCGAAAACCTCAGAAAACATATATATATATATATCTATATATATATATATATATATATATATATATATATATATATATATATATATGTTTTCTTTTTGGATGTTTGATTACCCCACCACCACGGTGTGTCCTGAGTACTTTGTCTTAAGAATTAAAAAACCCAATAAAATTTGTTTTTTTTTAAAAAAATGTATCCCACCTTCAATAACTTGCTGATCTGCTCTCTCCCAACAGGACTGCAAGGACCACCAGGTCCTCTAGGGCCAAAGGGAAACCCTGGCTCTCCTGGACCCAAAGGAGAGAGGGGTACCATGGGTGAAAAGGGAACAAAGGGTGATAGTGGCCTCTCAGGTGAGTGAGTTGAATGTTGCTTCCTTGTTGTGAAGTTTCAATTAACCACCTTCAGGAGAACATCTCAAGTCTGTCCTTTTCATGTCATTGTGACTTCCTTCCGGTGCCCTTTTTAGCAGGGATGCGGTTAATATTTCTGATCAACCCATCGGATGTTTCCATCAACCTTTGGTCAATGTATTAGTTGGTAATGGGGTGGCGGGGTCCACACATATTTTCAGCAAGGAAAAGGCACATGGGAAAGGAAGTCAGTGTTTGGATGAGTCAACGGCTGTCAGGTGCAAAGGATCAGGTCCATATGCTGAACTGAAGTTCAAAAAAGACTTATGCCCAAGAATCTAGTAAACTAAAATTCAATGCTAAATTGGCACCAGCTAAAGGTCAATGGAATTCAATAGCCATTGGACTTAGACCATTTGTGGCAATGTAATGACTCTGCTGCTGATGCATTTAACTCCACCTCTCAGTTCTGCCTGCTCTTCTCCTATGTTGGTTTTATGCCAGTGTCTTCCTATTCATGATGCTACGGTCCAACGTCTTGCAGACTGTGATCATCTTGTTCTCTCTTAGAGGTCAATCTTTTGAAGACCAAAGTTAGCAGCCTGGAAGGACAGCTGAAAGCTCTGCAAGCCAGCTTTGCCAAGTACCAGAAAGGTAAAAATGATGTGCAGAATACACAAATCCCTCTGGAGGAGTTTGATCTCCCAGTAAAGAGCTGATGGGTTAGGCGAACCAGGCATATCGGCAGGTGCACTGCAGCAGCACCCATAAGCCCCAGACTGTGGTAGAAAGCTTGACAGCAGGTGCTAGTAGTTGGGAAGGTACTGCTGCCCCATACTTGAAAATTGTTCACTGAGTTGAAGATGCTCGACCGCTTTAATTACTGGGGTTGTTTTCAGAGTGAAAGGGACACTTGGTTTCAAAGAAAGTTCACGAGAAGCTTCCAGGTTGTTTCGCGGAGCAAGGATGCCCTTCAAGAGAGTCTCTTGCATTTTCAGCAAGTAGAAGAAAAAAATGGGCAAAGTAAAACAACACAACTAGGAGAACTGCATTATCTCCAAGGCCCTGCCAGGTTTTTACATTTATCCCTATTAGTGCATATATTGTATGTGCATCCCAAAGATGCTTTTTCACGAGGCAACTGGACTTTCTTGTTTTTCTTTGAAGACGTTTCGCTTCTCATCCAAGAAGCTTCTTCAGCTCTGACTGGATGGTGGGGAATGGAAAGATTGATATTCCTTGCAGACAGCTGGTCATTTGCCTTCTTTTAGAGAATCATTGAGGCCACTCGGAGGTTTACCTGCGTCCTCAGGGTCACCTGAATGGTGAAAATGGGTGTGAGGTCTTCTTGGCTGCAGGATGTTTTCTGCTCTGGGTCCCTTCCCCATTGAAGACAGGCGCAGGCTGTTAGGGAAGAGTCTGTGTTGTCTGCATCTCAAACTGAAGCGCAAATGGTTCCTGTAGTCTGTACTACAGGACTTCCCCACTATCCAGGCAGAGCTGAAGAAGTTTCTTGGATGAGAAGCGAAATGTCTTCAAAAGAAAAACAAGAAAGTCCAGTTGCCTCCTGGTTGACCTTTGGGACAACTAGGACCTGGGATGACTGAGAACCTCCACAGATACTCTATGTGTACTTACCCTAATGTATAACCACAGTGAACGAAATGAATTTGTAAGGAGACTGCAAAGCTGCTTTCCGGGAAAATAATCCTAGTATTTACAAAGATTTACACACAGTTAAAAAAAAAAGCTAATTTTATTTTATTTTTTTTTATTTTTATTTCACACTGCTCAGTGGCCAATCTCTCTTAGATTTTATTTTATTTATTTTGATAAAACGTTCTGCAGTTTTTGGTATGGTTTGGATGTATCTCCCATCCTTGCCATGTTTGTTTAATTTTAAGTTGATGTCAATGTTAATATTTATTGTTTTAATGTATTCTCTGCATTTGCTGCCTTTAATTGGTTGTAAGCCATGTAGAGGTGCCTCTAGCCATGATGGGCAGGATATCCATATAATAACTATGGGTCCATCGTATTTCTGGACAAACCACCAGGGATTTTCCAACACTAGGATGATTGGGAAAATGACATATTGCTAACAGCAGTATTTGATGAGCCGTCACTCTCTTCCTATAGCAGGTTGACCTTGCCTCAATTTACATCAGTGTAATCATTTACTACACAATGACTGGTGTTGACTCTGACCTAAGAATGCACCCCCTTTTTTTTTGTTCATTCTAGTTGCCATGTTCCCAGGGGGACGCAGCGTGGGCAACAAAGTGTTCATAACCAACAGCTACGAAGGCAACTTCGAGGACTTGAGACTCAAGTGTGCGCAGGCCGGAGGGCTGCTCGCGACCCCGAGGAACGTTGCGGAGAACGATGCCATCCAAAAGATTGCAGTGATGTACAACAAAGGGATCTTCCTTGGCATAACTGACTTAAAGACCGAAGGGACATTTAAGTACCTGAATGATCAGCCCATCACTTACTCCAACTGGTTGCAAGGGGAGCCCAATAATAACCAGGGCAAGGAGAATTGTGTGGAAATGTTCTCCAATGGAAAATGGAATGACAAATCCTGCGGAGAGAAAAGGCTACTGGTCTGCGAATTTTAGACCATCTGTCAGGACACTGTTTAGATCGGGGGGGGGGGGTCTTCAAGCTCGGCCCTTTTATGACTCGTGAACTTCAAATCCCAGAATTCCTCAGCCAGTGTGAGCCGTAAAAGAGCCGAATTTGAAGACCCTCCAATTTAGATCCAGGGAGGCTGTGAAGTTTTAATACCATGCTTGCTTTTTATCTTTAGGCATTAAATAAATCATGACTTTAGCTAATCCTCCCTAAATCCTAGTGAGGGGGAACTGTTGATTTCATGTATAACATTAAAGTAACCATCAAGCACAGTTCACAGGTACAGGGTACTTTCCACCTCATGATTGTTAATTAATTAATCAGACTACAGCTGGAAGGGACTTTGGAGGTCTTCTAGTCCAGCCCCCTGCTCAAGCAGGAGACCCTATACCATTTCAGAGAAGTGGCTGTCCAGCCTGGTCTTAAAAACCTCCAGTGATGAAGCACCCACAACTTCTGAAGGCTAGCTGTTCCACTGGTAATTATTCCACTGGTTAATTATTCTAACTGTCAGGAAGTTTCTCCTTAGTTCTAGGTTGCTTCTCTCCTTGATTAGTTTCCATCCGTTGCTTCTCGTCCTGCCTTCTGGTGCTTTGGAATGCAAGTGTCCTAAAGGTGGCAGCAATAGAATTAAGGACTCCAATTCTCTGCTGACACCTAGTGGTCATCCATTTTTTTGCATCTCAGATATGGTAGAAGCTAGAATGGGAACCAGGATCCAATAAGGCAGTGTTTCCCAAACTTGACAATTTTAAGGCATGTGGACTTCAACTCCCAGAATTCCACAGCCAGCTGGCTGTGGAATTCTGGGAGTTGAAGTCCACATGCCTTAAAATTGTCAAGTTTGGGAAACACTGCAATAAGGCCATGATATCTACAGACCCCTCACATCCTGGACATAAACTGTTTCAACTCTGAACACGTAATCCTCACAGTATTGTCTTATGCCTAGGTATATTCACCCAGGTTGTATGGCTGTAGTATTATTAGTACCCTTCTCATCTTCTCTAGTACCCCCTTTTGTTGATGTCATAGTATGATGATTATTACTCTGTTGCTTTGCGTGTACACAGAGAGATTCTGCACCCGAGACAAATTCTTTGTATGTCTAATCACACTTGGCCAAATAAAATATTCGAAAGTATTCCAATTCTTTCGGGCCTAGCTAATAAAATGTTCTGTCTAATTTTCTGAAAGGTTACCAGGTGGATTCCATACCTGGCATTTTGGACTATCGTCCAAATGCTTTTAGTTGCCACCAGTCCTAGTTTATTTCTGTTTGTTTGTTTTTCCATTGTTACTTGCCTGAAAACAATGATATCTCCTGGACTTGCTTTAACTTTTGACACATTGTGACCAGCATAGAGAGCATACAGTCCTGGCCAAAATTGTGGAAATCTTTTGGGAAAATTTTATTTTTGAGGTTTGATGGCTGATAACACCACTTTTGTTTTGGAGTAGTACCATAAAATTATATATCAATGGAAAGATAATTTAATCAAGAATGTAATGCAACAAAGTTTGTTCAATTATCTGTAGTGTATTCTATGAAAAGTTATAGCCAAATAATCAGAAAAAGGAAGCACAACTTGCTTAAGTTGATCTCAGGTAGCTTTCCTTCATCTGATGGTAGCCAAAGAGCGTGAGTGTTTAGAGAGCCAATCAGGTGTCATCTTGTTTTGGCAATGAGCCAATCAGATCACAGTAGGATTCAGTTCTTGATGTCATGTACTGAAGCTGAGAGGAGGACATTTGTTGGTGTGTTATGTGATGGCTATCAAGTTGGTTGGGGTTTTTTGTGTTCTTTCATTTGGTGAGCTTATAAAACATAATAAAATTAAGGTAATGGTGCAAAGAGTTGATTGGTCATCCAGAAAGCGATGTAAAATAGTATTATGAAGTGAACAAGGCTACAGTGATAAAGAAATTAGAAGAAAAATGGGTGGAAACTTAACCAAAGGCGGCATTTCTACGGTACACTTTTCCCAAAAGGTTTCCACAATGTTGGCCACTACTGTATGCTCAACAGGCAGAAGACTGAAAGTTCAGAAGCAACCAGAACTAAGGAGAAACTGCCTAACAGTGAAAACAATTAACCAGGGGGATGGCTTGTCTTCAAAAATTATGGGTGCTCCATCACTGGAGGTTTTTAAGAGACTGGACAGACAACCTAGAAAGCAGAAGACCATAAGCTCAAGTGCACCACTTAGCCACGAAAGCCAGCTGGGCAAACGTGGGCCAGTCCCTTTCTCTCAGCCCAACCCACCTCACAGGGTGGCTGTAGTGGGGAAAATAGGAAGAGGAAGGTGTGTTGGATATGTTCACCACCTTACATTATTTGTAAAAATAATAAAGATGGGATGCAAATCAATCCATCCATCAATATCCCTTTCCAATATCTCAGGGGTTGCCACAAAGAAGAGGGAGTCAAGCTCATCTCCAAAGCACTTGAAGGCAGGACAAGAAACAAGGGATAGAAACTAATCAAGGAGAGAAGGAACCAAGGATAACAGTGAAAACAATTAACCAGTGGAATGCCTTGCCTTCAGAACTTATGGGTGCTCCATCACTGGAAACTTTTTTTTTTTATTGAAAATTTTTAAATTTTACAAAACAATACAGTTCCCTTCCCCGAGCCCCCCCCAACCCTCCCATATCCTCCCCCAACCTTCCCAGAGCTGAATACAGGCTTAATTAATTTTTTTCAAAAAGTCTTAAAACAGATATAAACCATACACAAGTCTAAATACATTAATTAAACAAGTTGTGAAATAGTTAACAATAATATATGTGTAAAAAGACAAAAATACAAAGAAATACAAGAAAATAGGAAGAAAGAAAAAGGAAAGAAATAAAAAGAAAATTTCAAAAAAAAAGAAAGTCTATAAAATATCTTAAATTTTAAATATGTTATTGAAAAGCTAAATAATATTTTTTATATCCAACTTATATTGTATAAAGTCTATCCATTTTTTCCATACCAGAAAATACTTCTCTTGCCATCATTGGAAACTTTTAAGAAACTGGACAGACATTTGTTTGAAATGGTATAGGGCAGGGGTAAGCAACCTGGGCTCTTTTATGACTCGTGGACTTCAACTCCCAGAATTCCTGAGCCAGCATGGGGGAACTATGGCCCCCTCATGACTCGTGGACCAACTCCCAGAATTCCTGAGCCAGCATGGCCCAGCTTGGAAACCTCTCCCTTTCCCCTCAGCAAGCCTGGCTCAGGAATTCTGGGAATTGAAGTCCACGAGTCATGAAAGAGCCAAGGTTGTCTACCCCTGGTATAAGGTTTCCTGCTTGAGCAGAGGGTTGAACTAGAGTCCCTTCCAACTCTGTTGTTCTGTTCTGTTCTGTTAGCTCTGGACAAAGTTGACTAGATCAACTAGTTGTCATCAAAGTGGCTCATGAATAGAATCAGCTCCAGATATCATCTTTCCTGCATGTCTCCAACTTCCATATCCTGATCCACAATTCCTGTCTCTTTGCTATAATTTGCTTTTTTAAAAGCTACCCATGACAACTCATCCAGTTTGGCCCTCTGATAAGTCAGGCTGAACAAGTTGGATTGATACGCCTGTTGGCAAGTTTGGATCATATGCACAACTGAACCATCAGAAACTACTTACACTGGCCATTCAATTTACACATTTTCTTTCGACAATTATCCGCCTTACCTGGGCCAGGATGAAAATTACGCGGAGACAGTCTGCAAGACAGAAAACAGCTGTGACCTGCTATCCTGTTCAAACATCTTCTGGAAATTAAACATACTGAAGTGTGAAATTGGCTGATGCTGTCACTTCACACACTCTATCTGAGCCTTCATTGGAACATGTGCCAGCGTGGTGTGATCACATTAATTAGTGAACACATATTGATTTCAAGCTATCTATCTAATTTGTTTGATTTTTTTTTAACCACTCTTCCCACCATAATCGTTATTCCATGCGTGCATTTTCCTGGGATTATTTTAGGCTGCGTTAAGAATCATATGCTGTGCTTTTAAAGCTAAACAAAGTCCTTCTGCAATAGAATAGTAGGAATTCATTCCCTCTGGATTTTAGGTTTCCTGAATTGTGGCATTTTTATACAGAAAAAAAGCATTGATTAGTATCAATGTGAAAATGTCACCAAAGCAAGTCTGTTCTTTTCTGGCATCACTACTTGACTTGGTTCTATAGGAAAGGAATGAAAGAAGAAGAAAGGAGAAAGAAGAGGAGGAGGAGGAGGAGGAGGAGAACAAGAAGAAAGAGAAAAAGAAAAAAGAAAAGAAAAGAGAGAAAAAGAAAGAGAAAAAGAGAGAGTGAGAGAAAGAAAGATAAAGTGAGAGTGAGTGAGTGTGTGTGTGTGTGGTGAGAGAGAGAGAGAGAGAGAGAGAAAAGAAGAAAAAGAAGAAGAAGAAAAAGAAGAAGAAGAAGAAGAAGAAGAAGAAGAAGAAGAAGAAGAAGAAGAATAAGAAGAAGAAGAAGAATAATAAGAAGAAGAAGAAGAAGAAGAAGAAGAAGAAGAAGAAGAAGAAGAAGAAGAAGAAGAAGAAGAAGAAGAAGAAGAAGAAGAAGAAAAGAAGAAGAAGAAGAAGAAGAAGAAGAAGAAGAAGAAGAAGAAGAAGAAGAAGAAGAAGAAGAAGAAGAAGAAGAAGAAGAAGAAGAAGAAATGGAGGGAGGGAGGGAGGGAGGGAGGGAGGGAGGGAAGGAGATATGAACTGGCTGGCCCCAGTCTTTTGTAACTCTCCATTGCTGGCTTCACAGATTCTGTTTTTCCTCTTGCTCATTTATTCTCAATTGGCAAACATTTTGGCTGGAAGCTATTCAAATCTAATGGCTTTCAAGGCATCTCTGAAGCTTGAAAAAGCACCAGCATCTGGGCTGGCGGTCAGCTTGCTTTCCCCCAGCACTCTCAGAGAAAACACAGCTGTCCAGGAAACAGTGTTTCATCCCACAAAGGTAGCCTATCTGAGAATGAATGACAAGCGGTGAGACGGCAGCTCTGCATCTGTTGACAATAGCCCAGGCGAGTACGTAAGCTGGGCAAATAAAGAACCAAACCAGTGGGGAAATAAAACCATATGACATTTATCTGGAGAACCGGCACAGCGACAGGTACTGCTCAGAAAGATAATTAATTGTGCGTGGCTCTCCGTTTCATGGCAACAGCCCAAGGCATGTTCTCATCTTGAGATCCTTCAACGTTAGAAACGTGTCATGGTAGCTCTGGAGGTCCATGGAGATTCTCGGTCATCCAGGTCATGGTTGTCCCAAAAGTGCTT